ACGGGCAACCTTACTCAGTGCAAAGGTAGAATGGGCAAAAAATAACCACTTCCATTAATAACGGGTTATGAAGACGTACCGAAACTTTTTTTTTGTCACGACTACAGAGCAATAAGCAGCGGTGTTGTTTAAATTGATTATTTTATCGTTGTAAGCTATGATATAAGAAACAAGTACCTGACTGTTACTTATTGGATATTAGATAATTAATATAAACATATCCAAACTTTGCTTTCAAAACAAAAACAGTCCGAATTGATCTTGATATTGCGAGAAACATTACATATATTTTTTAATCAATCATATCTCTATTTTGCTTTGTTCATTTAGACAAAATCTCCCAATACAACGTCAAATTGAAGGTTCTAAAATAAAAAATACACAGTATAGATCGCGAACATTTTGGCCAAGGATACGCAACGCTATCGCCATAGAGCAACCGAAAGTATTCGTACAACAGAAAAACTTAATAGTTCATAAAGAATCGTTGCGTAATATTGGTCACGGTTTGATCACTAAAATGATAGCTCACGTCATTTTTTTCTTTCACTAAGTCACTGGTCGAATGTACCCCACTTCACTCTTGCTCTAACGACTTTTTAAATTAGTTTTCATACGTGGAGCGTGCAACCGTTCCGGTGGGGGGTTGGCTTTTGTTTTAACAAAACCATAAAAGTATTTGGGACTTTTGTTCTTATTCTGCTGTTGTTTACTTGCTTTATGGTGGAGTATTCACTAGTCACTGTGATATCCATTAAATGGACTTGCAGGTATTTTCGTAACTATTAATGTGAGCTAAAACCTACGAATCTCTATTCGCATTGTAACATTATGTAATGTAATTCAATGTTAATCATGACGAAGAGCTATAACTATAAAATTGTAATCAAATTCACCACAACAATAATTACTTGTAGCAAAAACAAAACTGTCGGTTTTATATTCCTACTATTAAAACTGCGACTGCGATACCCCATTCGTAAAGTTTGTTATTGTGGTTTTAAAGTAAAGAAAAAAGTTAAGAGACAGAAATTATACGCACGAAAATAGTTAAAAACTTTGATCCTAAAATATTCATTAAAACGAGAGCCCTAATAGCACTTGGTTGAAATTAGAATTCCTTTGCCAACATCAAAGCAAAGGCACGGTGAACGTTTCATTACGCTTTACTAGTACATTCATAACGAAGAATAGCGTTAACAAATGCTACAAAACCAGTAGACTAGGGACAACCACGAGGATAACGATACGTACGAAATTAGCCTTTAATCCTTAATTGATAGAGCTTACATGGGTGGTAGATAGTACGTCGGTTGGCTTAGTAAACGCCGCCGAGCGTGTCTATGGGAGCGACCGACCAAACAATGATGCTTGGAATGCGATACGAAAAAAGAGTAGGAGCGAGAGGGAGGGTGTGAGCAGGACGGAATGTATTCGACGGCTTCCGCTGTATCATGGGGTATAGTGACAGTCTCAGGTGGAAGTAGGCCCTTGGTGTTATGTCAGGTGTACCAAAATACTGATAGCGCCGTATTCACATGAACATGTTCGTGCGCATCGTTAATGATAAGGGCCTCATTCTTTTAACATAATTCATAGTTTTTTATTGAGTCGATAATAAGAATAATGTGCAAAACAAAAATAATTTCTAAATTACTTCAACCATAAACTATCTATGAAATGAAGTCTAACACTCATGAAAAACATTTTATTTTTATTAGCAACAATTATAAAGACATGGGACATCGGTTCACCGACTACACTGTAATAATGAAGACAAAGCTGCTATCTTAGAACAATAGAATCATTAGTATCTATGTGACTGCAATAATTATAAATAAATATCACATTAACAACAATAATAAAGATAAAATTAGACAGATTGCGACCAGAGAACATATACTGGATGATACAGTATCATTACAAATATTTAGCCTTGAAGATTACAACACTGATACTGGTAATATAGACGGCAAACTATAAGTTATTAAAGTTTCTTAAAGTTATGTCGAAATAACTGCAATCGTGAACATTCTTAACATACCTAGAGATGTATCAAGATATATTGATGCAAACATGTTGAATTATTCAAATATTGTTTCAATTTAAAAAGATTGATACAAACATAAATATTGTAATGCGATTACGAAACTTGAATGCATCTTCAGAATTAACTCAACGATAAGAAGACAATAAAAATAACAACTACGTAAGATAGTAACTGTTCTCATGAACAGACAAAAATAACACTGCGATAGTAAATAACATCTCGGGTCATACTAGAACACTATCAATTTACACGTAAACATATTATTTCTGTCCAACGATAAGAACACTGACAATAAGGATACATAAGATACAATAATTTGTTTAGTCTGTATCATTAAGTACCAATGTAACCTTTTTGTCCTTGAAGAAGAATTGTAAAAAATGAACAAATGATAAGATCATTCGACTTATTTGGACGATACGAATATAAACACAAAATAAGATTATTATATGTTTCGTACCGATAAATCTTACAACTTGTCCGACAATAACCCTGCTCGGAGTACAGAACGTAATAGCAGTGAAAGGCTAGCCCATAGCTTTCGACCATTTCCCTCGGACCACGCTTATAGCCTGCACACGAATTAGAAAACAGAAATTACGTTCAATACATTTTGTACAGCAATTTTCTAGAAAATTAACTACCGAAGTGCTACCTATGATTTCATAGTAAATTGCACAAAAATATTACTTATAGTGAATGCGAAGTCACACCCTCCGTAACAGGTCTAGTTAGCAACGACTTACGTCACACGATATAATGGGGTATTTGAACATTAATCAGCCAATTCGCGTGTTATCAATAATCGAGGAACTTGAAATGGCGTCGGTGTCAAAGGTAAGACTAACAAAAACAATGGACACACGTCAGGCTTGCGTGAAGGCACACCAATTAACACCATAAGTCATAAGAAACTCATCAAGAGTGAGACTGATGACCATAATAAGTTTAGCCATGATCTTAACATTCTACGCAGTAGAGCTTATCTCATGGCACGTCACACGCGATAGGAATGTTAATTATCCGGCACGCAGATTAAGTAAAACTACATTACGATGCATTGTACAGAAGCTGCGACTTTCACTGCTAAATAAAATCCGCGTCCAGGTTGACACCGATTCTGATCACAATCTTTATGTTCACTTCATTGAATACTACTACTTTCTTTGGTACATACCAATTTGATATTTGACTTTCGCAGCCATTTCTCAAAAACAATTTTCCAGGTGGATTTTTGTAGGTGTTATAAAAAAAGGGATAATTGTTCTCAATTAGAATACAAATAACGAATAAAAATCGAGGATAAACACATAACAATATAATAAGAAATTTTTTACAAAAATGTAACGAGAAACAATACAATAAGCTAGTTAATACGTAAAACAATTTGTCGTGATTGTTGTTAAGACGAGATTTCCATTCACATGACACGTGGATTACGTGGGAAGAAACATGAGCACGATTCTCCGTTCCATTTTACCACGAACTTGCTTCCATTTCCAAAACTATCGCGTGCATCGTAATATTCAAATACAAATATGAGCACCTGTTCAAATAGTGCACGATCTTCACCCACTTTTTTCAAGTACACATTATCATTTAATAAACATATTTTGAAACTACGGCAATCTGCAGCATCATCTGATGATAACGCTTGTTCATTTTCTCCGCGAACGTTTCGGATATCTCGCCAATTACTGGGCACAGCGACGCATGACAGATGCGTCTAAAACGAAAGTCTCTTACTGATTAACATCGACATTCCTTTCGCTTTGTTCGATGTATTTATTTAAATTGAAACATTTACTTCTTGGGTTTGCATACAGCTCCTGCGATTTATTTACATTGTCATTCAGTGAAGGAGATAGAGAGTTTTGTCTGCTAGCTGTGTATATGTATTTTCTCTGATAATTATGTTTTTTTTAAGTTAAAACGTAAATAATTTAATTTGAAGTTGAATTGCGAAAATACGATATTGCCACTTGTAGTACATTAAACAATAAACATTTATTATACAATAACAGTACTCAGACCTGAAGTTAATTCATTCAATAGTTAAGTCGTAAAGTAATAAAAAATATGTAAGTATACAAGCAAACACTACGCTGTAATAACTATTGATTTTATATTTTTTGTTTGAATATCCAGCAATTTTTTTGCTGCTTGCAAAATTATACGTAGCTTACTTAAAATACGTGTAATCGAACAGCTGCGTGCTTCTAATAGATATTCAAAAGTACTACAATCAGTGTGTTATATCAGTATATATATTTAATATTCGGCATTTGGAGTTAATTTACTAATTTGGAGATCCGATCGTTTTGCTCGACCGAATCGCCTTGGACCACTTACGCAACCTCAGTTACTGACGATTCTATTGACATTACTATAAATCCGATACTTTTACACTGTTACCTACATGTTTTAAACTTAATGTTTTTCGTGTACTACTTACGTGAATTTGCCCTTTAACTTGATTTGATCGTTTATGTCGAAAAACAACAATTGCTCTATAGATTACATTGATATTTGCTTAATAGCTTCCTATTTAGCTATATTTTTACAACAACCGTAGTTATGTTGGGCAACACAGGTGCGTTATTGTGAGCTGTACGTGTATTTATGTCGAAACCAACTCAATACATAATGAATTTGGTCTTTGGAATGTAGTAACGGATCGGTGTTTCACAGCTTAGGACCGCCGCTTTTTATAGGTTATGTGAAATTACCTATCGACTCTCTAACCTAAATTCTTCGAGTATTTTTTTTATTGCGAGATATCGTAAGTGATAAGTAAATATTACCAAACAGGTTGTTTTGCCGGCTGATAAAAGTCTGAGGGTGACTAGATTCGTCTATTGATCGAAATCGGAGGTGACTGTTAAGGTAGTAGTTATAATATTTTCTATTCAAGTATATATTAATACAAAATTATGTTTATGAGACTTACCTCTAGCCCAGCCGGTGAGAACATTTCCAAGATACGCCACTTTGTACACAGGATCGGGATCACTGATGCGCACACTGTTAGTGCGACGTAGTAGCTTCCCGATTCCTCGAGATAACCGACCAATAGCTCGCGCGGTGAAGTCTTTACCGGACGCACCATCAGCCAAACAACCTTCAGCTGGTAGAATCGATTTGGTCTGGCCATTCTCCTGGATTTTGTGGCCTATAAGCCTAGGCATCGTCAGTGGTAACGACTTTTTCTTCTCTGGAGTCAGGGTCTTGGCCTGGTTTACACTGTATACATTACAGTTCTTCTTAAAATTCTGGCCATTTACTTCTTTGGTGTGATCATTTTCTTCAGTCTTATCGGTTTTGTCAAACTCGGTCGTTTTGATTCTGCCGTTCAGGTTCTCATTTAGGTTGTTGTTGTTGTTTATATTGTCTGTAAACCCATCACTGAACCGACGTTCAGAACTGGAGCGCCTCTTCATGAGAGACGGGTTCCTCAGCAAAATGCTCGTTTCACTAGAACTTCTGTTCTTAAGAATGTGTATCTTCTTGACCCGTGTCACAGCACAGTCGACCTCGTCGGCACTTACCATCCTTTCAGTTTTTCCTTCCTCATCCAGGAAGCGAACTCTAAGTCCGTTCGATTTACAGTCGCTAAGTGTTTTTTCCGACTCTTGGAGACGTTCTGATTGATTTTTTGCGCCTGCATCTAGGCAGTGGCGCTCGTTTTCACTCAGCGTTCCGCGAGCCATTTTTCTTTAGAATACTTGTCAGTGTTTGTTGGCACTATCACATTATGGCCAGGGAACTCTACACTGAGGTGTTTGCACAAGTTTCTAGTTCACGGTTCTCTCTCTGTATCACTGTTTACTTGGAAAAGCTATACACAACGAACACCGAACCAGTCACCACCTCGATAACTACTAAAACACACACAGAGTAGTATACACCTCGTCCATTAAAGAACGACACCGGTTTGGAATGTAGCCTTCTCCACTTACTCAATGCACTTGTCCGTTTATAGGAGAAAATGTTAACAAAAAGACGTATCAATTAAAATAGCAGTTGTTTAATTCAATGAAGAAACTGCTTCAATCGGTACGTGATTATGTTTATTACACTAATCAGTCACTTTGTAATATTGTATCGGAGCGAATATCGCGGGTGCGCGGCGCGTGCGCGTGCCTGGGCTTGCAGCGATGGAGTGGCGGTCTGGCGGCGGGCGGAGCGAGCGGTGGTGCGCGGGCGCATCGGTCACTTGATCCCAGCTTTGATTTTAATGATCCAACTACTTGTATCGCTGCGTTAACGCATCACTGTCCGCACCATCCACCTGGAACAAACAATAAACGTCGCGTTTATATCGTGCTGATGCTCATTTAGCCACTTATCTACCAAATATTTTACAATATCATTTAATGTATTTCGTATGCACTATAGTGAAGCTTATTCCTCGAGCTTATGAATGCCACCTTGTGCTTAATACGTAGCATTAATTTTAGACCTGTTTACTATTTGGAAATGTGAGAGAATCATAAGAGAAAAAATTAAGTAGCATCAATTACAATGTTAAACGTATAATCGACCCAGTCTTTATAGAACACGAAGATGATAAATATTGAAAGCAACGAATTACACGACATTACGTGACGATTGAGAAAACAATAGCGGTGACATCAGAGTCTCCACTCACCTGTGATTTGGGAGTGGAGACGTGAGTATGTGATATCAATTAACAGGTGCCTTGGTACTTGGAAATGGCTTCCACACCATATAGATCACCAAGTGATCTTATTTTATTTCTATATCACTCATTGGTTGATCTTTTTATAGTTTATAACCTCAAGATAGCATTAATGGTTGAGGTTGCAGGGCATGGGCAATAAGGCACCGCCGCCTCGGCCTAGAGCAAGAGAAGGAACGGGGGGGTTTTTAGTCAGTAAAGAGTCTGACGCTCCCTCTCGCCTCATCCTGACCGGGTGAAGTAATTTGATGATTTCCCTTCACAAAAAAAGATTTAGGTAGCAGATTGGAAATTACAGCCATTTAGATAATAAAAATATTGGTAAGTATTTCGATAGTTTGCTTTTAAAGAAGCAAAATTACTATTAGTCCTTGAAGTACCTAGGTGCTATGTACAGTAATTGCTTGATGCTTAACACTTATGGGATTCGCAAAATATTAAGTGTATTGTAAGGTTTTTATACGATGAGGGTAATTGATCATATAGAATTCTTTTTTCTGAAATTTATATTTATAGAAGTAACCCCAGCTAAGAATTTTTATAGGTAAACTGACTTGATGATATTTTTGTCATTTTTAATATTTTTTGGGAAATAAGTATGCTTTTTGACCAAAAAACATTATACCGACATATGTAGCGATTTCAGACCTAATTTCACACAAAAGTATACGAGTAGCTTGGGACATTTCAATAAAAGTATCGAATTTGACTAGTTGGAACTACCAGATTATGCTGTTCAAGCCACCTCAGGAAACTAAGTACAAGTATAGTACAGTATAGTACACGGAGAAGTCTAAGTATTTATAAAAAAAAATATTTCTTCGTCTAAGATAAAAAAAATACTTCATAATCATTGATAAATAAACTTCATACAGACATATTTTCTACAATAGGTAAGGAATTGTTATTCTAGACATAAAAACTATAAAAATATTACTCTATTTCAATATGATATTGTCGTCTGCAGATGAGAATCCCTTACTTATACATATATCACTGTTATCATTACATCATACACTTGTTTTATATGAAGCATTACATAACGGTTCACCTTCGATCGACCAGTTAGCCTCACTGCCTGTGACAACTTTTTGTACATCGCCTGGTTGTAAAAAAGGTGACAATACTTAATTGAATTTCACTTCAGCATCATATGGTTCTTTGTCGATCAAATTTCCTTTTTCTAATGAATGGTAACGTCTAGGCGTTTCCTAAGTACAAAAGGCTGAAATTTTCCTCCTCGTTGTCGAGATAGGTACAATCACAATAAAACTGTTCTAGACGAACATCACTTGCTGTTAAAATGCTCAATGAATCGGAAAATAACATTCCAGAACATTCGATTAAATCTTTATTCGAACAAAGCATTCATTTTCACAAAAATGTGATTATCTCAACTCTAAGGAAAATCACTGAGAATGAGTTTTTATAGGAAAGACAAAAACTTAAAGTTTTCTGTGAAATTATAATGATGATTGAGAACTGACAAGTTGAATAGAAATCATTCAACACAAAATAAATACTTGTCTTGTCTAGACTGGAAAATAAAATGACGTCCATTCGCCTCAAAATGTACTTATAAATAGATCCTGTAACTGACAGTAAAGTTCGTTGACGACACTCCTCAGAAAAAAATCATAAAATTTTGCTCATTTTTCGTCGGGTACCTACTCCAATTAATTTGGGGTTGGCAGTTACTTTTAACAAGATCCGGTAAATAATTTGCATTTTTCTTTACAGCTATTTATTTACACTTCACAATTTTCACAACTAAAGCAAAAAAATATATCGTAAAGATACTAGGAAAGGTCAGAAACAGACTCTCATCCTAGTTTAACCTTTAGCGGTCGTTCCGGGAGGCTATAAACTTAGCCACGACTGCCACGAGCTCTCTCGAGTACCAACATAAAACAAAGGCTGGACATCCTATCTGATTGCAACAACTATTGTCATTGATACTGTCCTACCAATGCCACTACAATAGTGTTCCTTGCCAAAATTGATTTATTTGTTTAAGTGGACGCGACTCCATTGTAAATGTCTTGAAGATTGTTATTTTTCGAATTCAGGTGAAGACAACATAGCTTTTTCAATTATAAGCTGAGAAAAAAAGAAAGATGTGTATAAATAGAATTTAAATAATTGTTTTCAATGTAAGAATTGGTTAATTAATTCGTGCACAAAAACTATTGAGTGTATCATGTATAGGTACAAAACATAATATTCTTTCATTTGCATAGTAACCACTTGAAGTTAACGAGTTCATATAAAAAGAATTAAAAAAACCATCAAATCGTAAAGTACTCAGAAGAGATCTAAAGTTTTTGTCGAGTAAATTTTTCTCGTCGAACAAAAACTAGTAAAATGGCGTCGTGTATATATTTACTGGCTATTAGAGTGGTCACAAAAAGTGCGTATGTAGCAATTTTAAAACAATTTACTTCATTTGTAATGTTTTTACCTTTGGATTGTTTTCAAGTTGTTTTGAACGATGCGCACTGCGGGAGTTCGTGTACTCCGTCAATTCACCTCTAACAACAAATTCTTTTAGCACTTAATGAGTGTTTAGTTAAATACTGTGTTTATTCAAACTTCGAATGACAACACAAATCATAGACCATTATCCGTATTACAATAATGACGAATAAAAACTAATTATTATTCAATTAACTCCCATTAAGTCTAAACTGTACGGTGCAGTGACCAGCTTGAATTTTGACTAGTGATTCACAAAGTGTTGTTTTCGGCCTAGGTGTGATGTTTATTTTAGTTTTATTATAAAAGTAATTGTCTGAAGCAAAATTTACTTAAAAATGAGAATTTTCAAATTATTCTTACCACGGTACGTTTCCACTCAATTAACTACAACAAAAGCTGAAATTTGTGATTACAGCCAAGAAGAACTGAATGTTCATTTGGGATCAATCCTATATTATATTTTTCCGTATTTAATATTATTTTTAATTCATCATTTTTCCTTAACGAAGATAATTGAAAGAATATCGTCTACTATAATAATGGACGGTGAGGATCTGATTTCCCCTGAGATGACCGAGGTCGAGTGGATGCAAATGAAACCATAAATTAACATTCATACATATATTACATAGTATGGTTTTATATGGACGATTGAATATTATTATAACGTTTCAGAGTCCGGTTTGAGTAATATAATGATTGAGAATAATTTAACTTTTTGCTAGGCAACTAATATTGAGTACAACTAAAACTCAAAATTATCAGAAACTGTGTTTAATACTATAATTATCTACACATGTAACACAGTCCCAATTAATGTACAAATCTAATATAATTGTAAAAAAGTGCAAGTCCATCCCTCACAGAAAACAGCAAATTTGCTATTAATTGTGTTTTGCTAATCCTCTAAATGTCGCCAACGCACTCGTAACTCTTTCGTAGTTGCGGGTGTCCATGGGCGGCGCTAATTGCTTACCATCAGGTAACCCGTCTGCTCATTTGTCCGATGACATAAAAAAGTCGGAAAACCGAGGTGTACCCAAACTACGTGACAACAACTGAATTTAATGATTACCTACTTGTGGCGATTTTAAAACTGGTTCCAAAAAGTAGGTACATACTAAAGTCTAAATAAAAAAACCGATGCATCAGTACCTAGGTATATACGAAAAAAGAAATCTGTTTTCTGAAAGCGTGGGTGTGACATCGGTTCATCGATGTTATGAGGTTTCAGTTGCCAACTACTCTCTGAAGACCAATAAATAATTTTTATATCGAGCAGAAAACTATTTATAGAATGTTCCTGAAGTATTGCAAGGGGCACTTATTACTTGAGCATTTGGAAGATATGCGAGAAATGATTGCATACCTGATTATTTACGATTCTACGCAATATAATGTTTAGCCTTTTTTCTGTTTTGAGGGTGCAGAATCGTCTACCTATTTATGGGTGACGCAAAAGGGAGTGTCAGATTCTTTACTGACTAAAAACCACCACGTTTCTATTTCTGCTCTGAGGCCGCGGTACCAGCCTTGACCCGCAAGCCCGGCTGGACATCAGCCCTATTGAGCCTCATTTGTGATGGTCTGTTGGCTCTTTGAGGCGGGCGTGGAACACCGTACGCTCGAGTCTGGTTCTAGTCGGTCGGAGTGTTACCCTTGCCCGCCGTCCGAAAACCCATGCTTAGGGTGGCTGGAGATCGTTGCGCGATCCCTGTCTCCCGGAATTTTCTTGCATCTGGAGCGTGAGGATAGTTCCCTAACGCTATCCACTTGACTGCTTTGCAGAATCAGGAGATGCTCGCTCCGCACCATGGTGTCGACTAAGCCCGGTTACAAGAGGCAGATCACTTCCGTCAGACTCGGCGGTACTCAACACAAGCAAGGGACACCGCACCCTGGCGTTTAATCCCGCTGGAACCGAAACCTACCAAAATGTTCGTGTCCGGTAAGCATCTGCGACATTTGGAAGGTATA